TATAAAGCACGTCACATATATATGTATGTATGTATGTATGTATGTGTGCGTATGTATGCGTGTGTGGTTTGTGCGCGCGCTAGTTAATATTTATGATAAAAAAATCAAGAAATATTACAATATATTCGAACAAATGACACATAAATGTTATTATTTAAACATATTCAAGATGTCGAAAGTTATTCAAGAGAAATATCGAAGAGAGATCTTACTTGACCCATTTCTTTACTATTGATCTTTCCTTATGTAGTGGTAGAACACAGGGAAAATATTCAGTCGATGGAAAGCAAACAATAAATTAATGAAAAGAATGCCACAAAAATTAATATAAATGTGCATTTTTATCTTTACATTTATTATTTTCAACGTATAAAAATAATTTTAATAAAAATTAATCCATATGTTGTTATCTATTCATACTTCTTCTAATGTGTTTTAACTTTATCGATTTTTCTATGAAAATTAATAAAAAAATTTTACTATTTCCTTATAATTTTTTTAAAATAAAATAATGTTTTTTATCTCTTATAAAAATAATAAATATTTAATGATTTAAAAAAATTGTTTTATGAAATTTTAAATATTTAATAAGAAAAATTTATTATGAAATGAGAAATGAAATGCTTTTTAAAAATTATTAATATTAAATTTTTTAACATATAAAATTAACACTAGCTTTTATTAAATACTTTATTACCTTTACCACGTAAAAATTTACGAGTTGTTATTTTGTATAGCTTTAATTAATGTTTAAATAATTTTAATTTGTATATAAAAATTTTCTAGTTTGTGGCCTAATCATGCAAGTGCCCATAACAATTTAGGCACACTTCTTCCGGATAAGAAGGAAGCAGAAATTCATTTTAAGAAAGCAATACAGATCAATCCTTATCATTCGAGAGCTTATTACAATTTGGCTGTTACTTACAGGTATCTGTTTTCAAATTTTAATTTAAGAAGTATGGCAATTTATATTAGACAGCACTAACCTATGCAAAATTTATCATTTAAAATGAGAAAAATGTCTTCTTGTCTGGTGATATATTGCACGAATTCAATTTAGTAAAACTCAATAATTCAACTTACTTTAAAGTACGAAAGTTATTTAGAAAACCAAAAACAATCATTTTTCTTTCTACAAAACGCAGTCAGTTGGGTAAAACTGAAGCGGCACTTAATCTTTTGAGAAGAGCCCTGATGTTGGATCCTCTGTTTTCTGAAGCATATTCCTCTCAGGCATACCTTTACTCTATCAAAGGAGAAAATACAATTGCCGAATGTATCCATCGCAATATAATTAAACTAGAACCCGAAAATGCTAATTACCTTAATAATTATGGAAGTTTCCTTCATAAATTAGGTAAGAAAATCATTCATTTTCACTATTATAAATATTATCTTACAGCACATAGATATGTAAAATCATAAATATATTTGATATAGCATTCGTGTATGTTAAGACAATAGCATTTCCTTTATTCAGAAATAAACTTGAGATACGAAATAGAAAATTTATATTGAAATCTTATGTGTGGAACATTTATTTTTTTTATATGTATGGTATATATCTTGTAATAACTTTCTTAATGTTTATATAATATTTTCTACGTGTTTATCTAACACCTCTTGTATATTTTGATAACAATTTGTCTCCTGTTTGTGATGTTTCATATCATTTCTTATAGCAATATCTTTTACCAGTGATGTAGCATATCTTATCAAGATTTCGTTTCTTCCGCATCCCTAGCATCATTATAATCCATGTTTAATATTCTTAAATACTATAAATTTATCAAAAAAAATTATTCAGAAAATAATTTTAAAAATTAAACGTAATTTTAAATAAAAATAAATACGGAAATTTATATATTTTTGCTTTAAATAGTTAGTAAAAATGATTGAGTATCAACATAAAAAGCTTTAAATATAATGGAAAAACTTTTTGAAATATTAAAAATTTAAGTTTTTATATCTATTTTTTTTTAAGGACGAATTGAAGAAGCTTTGGAATTATATCAAAAAGCATTAAAATATCAACCGAATCATTTTAAAGCCCTTTTAAATGTAGCAAGAATTATGAAAACTTTAGAGAAAACTCGAGAAGAAGAAATTATATATAAAAGGTAAAAGAAACAACAAAAAAATGTTTAAATAAAAGAAATTATTGTAGAAAAATAATGTAATTTCATAGTTTAACAATCAATTATTGAAATATTTTGAATCTTTTATCTTCAACAGAATTTTAGAAATAACAGAAGATCCAACTGTTATGGATAATCTTGGTTTATTGTACATCAGCACAGGACGCTTCAAAGAAGGCAAAATAATATACGAAAAGCTAAGAAATAAGTTTTCCAACTATATTTACGGGAAAATACATTTTGTGAGTCAAAATTTCATTTTTTATTTGTCAAAATATAAAGGCTTATAAATGCATTTATCATCTGTCGCTCCAGTTGCAAAGTCCTGTCTTGCTAAAATTTATATTCGATTCATTGATAATCTGAGCCTTTATAATAGGATATAAATAGAAAATAATAAATTCTAACCCATAAAAATGTTAAATTATACTATAAATTATTATTTAGAAGAGATTTTTCATTTTATGTAACATGTTTTATCCATCCTCCAGCCACGTGATTCATGCCTCTTATCTAAAATAATCACTCAAAATCAAAGCTATTTTAGCATAATTTATAAATCCTATAAAAAATATTTTTATCAAGTTTAATATTTTAATTCTTTAAAATATATTTTATACGTTTATTACGAAAAAATTAATTAATTTTAAATTATAATTCTAATAAAATTATGATGTAAAGTACGCGTGTTTTTGTCCATAAATTTAAGTGAAAATTTAGACAAAAATAAAAAAGTAATCTTTCAAGAATATTATTTTTTTT